CGCGGGTTGGTCGCCTCGCTGCTCGACGTTTGCCTCGATCCGGCCGCACCGGGATCGTTAGAGTCTTCTGCTCGTCTATTTCTGCAAGGCAGTGGGGTTAGAGCCAACACTTTGGTGGGGGTTACATGTGCCTCTTACCTGTAGTTATCATAGCCCTCCTTATCGGGCTTGGCACCAAGACGACCTTTGGGGAACTGATTATCCGCAGCTGGCTTTGGTTTTTTGATGTTTCCGGCTCCCTTGCCGGCGTCCGCGTCCAAGTCACCGGCCTCCTGGTCCGAGAAGTCCTCCGAGCTGACGTCCGAGTACTCCACAAGTGCGGTCGCCGCGGCGGAGGATGCATGCATCGTAGCGTCTCGACGGTCGGGATAGGAGCACTCGCAAGATCCGCAGACACCACGCTCAGTTCTCTACGGTTCGTGCTGGTATTTCGTTGTTTTGATCGCTATGTCTACTCGAATTGCCAGTGACACTCCGGCATTCAAGTTTTTTGCGGCTTTGTGGTGAGATTTTCCTCGGGAGCAGCTCCAATTTTATTTACATCGCTGCCTCTCAGCACAAGCACATATTCGTGTGACGTTTTCTTTACATGATTATCGTGGGGATATGTGCTAATTCACAACGCCGCAGTAGCGCAAGTAATCGAAAACAGTCGGCACTGCACTGCACTTCTCTTGAAAGTGGATTTAGTGTTCGGTTACCACTGAAATTAATATAAAAAAAATTTATAACTTGTCATTTTAAGGTTATAATGAAGTGCCGAGTGTGGCCAAACCGCGCATGAGGTGAATAGCGAAAGAGTGCGTGTCGTTGCCACGGATATTTAAGCGAATACTATCGCAGGTCACACTAGAGTTATTCTTCAATAAATAACAAATATTTCGTATTTACTTTAAATAAAATAAAAAGGCCTCGCAGTAAAGCTAATAATAAGCAGTTGCTTATTTCATAAAGGAAAAATTGTTTTTTCTTGATAATTGACTTGCAGTATTAACTTACATGAATTTAAAGAAATGCCAGGAAGAGAAAGTTCTAGGGACTGCCGGGGAAACGTGAAACTGCAAAAATAAACTAATTAATATAGTTTTATCTATTATATTTAAAAACATTTTCAAAATTATGTTTAGGATTTCCGAGGACATTTTCCAGCACTAACTCAACACTGTTGCTCGTCGGTGACGTAGTGTGTGAGTCCAAGGTTGTGTGCGTGCCTTTATGTACGAGACACACACCGCCGCACATAACATACATACTTGCAAATGCGAGTGTGTGATGTGGGTCATTTTATTTTTCTTTTCTGCGGACTTACCAGTTTTTCGATGTAAATTATGCAAACACCACTTGTTAACAACTTTAATGCCGCCGCCACTTGCTGCTTGCCCGATTCTTTGTTTTGGCTGTCGGCAAACGCACACGCTGAAGCTCTAGTATTATTAAATAACACGGCTCGTATTCCGACGTTGTTTATGCTTTCGAATCGAATTCTTTACGCGAAAATTGCATTAGATTATTGCGGGATTGGTACATAGATAAGAAAGTTGGTTCAAATGCAAGTAACATGTCTCATTAGGCATTGTTTCGGTAGTAAAACCATTAGAATAAGTTTGACATGATTATGATTTTCTGCATTTGCAATGGCTGGCAATATTCTCGGCGATTAATCAGCCAACCACTGCAAAGTGGTCTGGTCACTCTAGGAGAGTGTTGTTGAACGAACGTTTCTTTATCGATATTTGAATTTTCGCCGATATTTGTTTTATTTAAATAAAGTTAAGCTATTTGGATTTATTTAACAATAAATGGTTTTATTGAATTATTTATCTACATTTGTTCCCAGATATAGATATCGAAAACGGGGCATTCGTTAGTGTTGGTAAACCAACTTCTGCAAACTCACTTCAAAGTTTCCCAACACTAACGGTGGCGTTCCCTTTCAAATTTTTGTTGGCTTGTTTGTTTACATGGCTTTGGTTGATTAATAATAACATAAATAGCAAGTGGCTCACTCAGTCTGTGAAACAAAGCAAACTATGTTGTCCAATCGGGCCTTTGGAGAAACAATTGAGGTGGGTGCACCGGAATCTCGTGATCCCATGGAATTTTCAAGCGTTGTTTGCCTTTGCAGGACTATGAAGTACAGCACTTGTTGGGCAAGGGCGGTTTTGCGAGTGTCTACAAGGCGCGATGCCTGCACACTCACCAGGATGTGGCCATTAAGATGGTAGGAACCCCTGCGATATGGTGAAAACCTTAGTTAATCTTTAATTTGCCCTCAGATCGATAAGAAACTTATCCAGGGCACTGGCCTCACCAACCGCGTTCGCCAGGAGGTGGAAATACACTCCCGCCTGAAGCACCCCTCTGTTCTCCAGCTGTACACCTTCTTCCAGGATGTCAACTATGTGTACTTGGTGCTGGAGCTGGCCCACAATGGGGAGCTTCATCGCTACATGAACCAAATTGCTAGACCCTTCACAGAAGCGGAAGCTGCCTCCATATTAAAGCAGGTGGTGGCGGGTCTACTGTACCTGCACTCGCACAACATCATGCACCGCGATATCTCGCTATCCAACCTGCTGCTGAGCAAGGAGATGCACGTCAAGATAGCTGACTTCGGACTGGCCACCCAACTGAAGCGACCGGATGAGCGGCATATGACGATGTGTGGAACTCCCAACTATATTTCGCCGGAGGTGATTTCCCGGGTGTCCCACGGCTTGCCAGCGGACGTCTGGAGTGTTGGGTGCATGCTGTACACACTGCTGGTTGGACGACCGCCCTTTGAGACCGACGCCGTGCAGTCCACGCTTAACAAAGTGGTCATGTCCGAGTACCTAATGCCGGCTCATTTGTCCTATGAGGCGCAGGACTTGATAAACAAGTTGCTGAAGAAACTTCCACACGAACGCATTACCCTCGAGGCGGTGCTCTGTCATCCTTTTATGCTGAAAAGATTGGATAGTAGCACAAGTGGTGGCCACTCGACGCCGGGAGTGTTTAGCCAGAGCCTGGAAAGCGGCGACAGTGGAATCATAACGTTTGCCAGCAGTAAGTATTTATTGAATGCGCTTGTTGGTGGTCTTTCCTCTGATCATTCTAATTTAGGTGATTCAAGGAACTCCCAGCGAATTCGTTCTGTGGACAACTCGGGGCCACAACAAGTGCTTCCCCAAATACAGGAGGAGTTCATGCAGGATCACCATCGGCTGACTTACGAGCAGCCTGGTTTATTTCGGCAAGCATCAACTGGAGTGGCAGAGCAAAACTGGCCAAGAAATGCTCAGGTTCCAGCTTTTCGCATGGATATGGATATGGTACAAACTTCTAGACCAGCGCCTCTTAAGGAAGAGCGCATTTCGGTGCCACCATTAAACACCAAAAGATTGCTACCGACGCGTTATAAGACGAAGAATGCTATAATGAGTATTTTGCGCAATGGTGAAGTTGTCCTGGAATTTCTAAAATTTCGGCCAAAGCTAAATGAAGATCGCGTCACTGATATTTGCCGCATATCGGATGACGGACAGCGAATTATAATATACCAGCCAGATCCTGGGCGGTAAGACAAGTCTAATGATTAAAACATAAGAAAATATGTTAATATTTTTATAAATTTCAGTGGCCTACCAATAAGAGAGCAGCCTCCAGACTTTCAAATACCAAGCGGCGACTGTGTTTATAATTATGAAACTTTGCCCAGTAAACACTGGAAAAAATATGTGTACGGTGCTCGATTTGTGGGCCTGGTGAAGAGCAAAACGCCAAAAGTCACATACTTCAGTGCCCTAGGCAAATGCCAATTAATGGAGACGATGACGGACTTTGAGATTCGCTTCTATTCGGGGTCAAAGCTTCTAAAGTCGCCCTCAGACGGACTTAAGGTCTTCGATGCAAATGGAATGTTGCTGTCTGATCATTCCTGCTCGGAGCCGCGATCCTTGATCGAGCATGGAAACGAGTGTTTTACCCACTGTGTCAACATTAGTAACGCCTTGGAGGTTGCTCAGACGAAAGACAATACGTGTTTTCCGGTCACAATCGGACGAAGACCCATCACAGATGTTCAGCCAGCTCAGAGATTGGATGGCCTGCGGGATACCACAAACTTTGCGTATTCCACACCAAAATCAAATCAGGTAGATATTTATTCTTGAGTTTATGAGTGTATTGTTACATGAATTCATTTTAATCCTGCAGGGTTCAATCAACTTTTCCGTAAGCACTATTTCGTCGACTCAAAATACCACAGACTTCGGAACCAACTACTCGAGGTCAAACATGCTAGCCGCCCATCAAAATGTCCCCATCAAGCGTATCAACGTTCCCGATGTTGGAATCGCTACTGAGGTAATGCTCTTTGTATATTTTTATCAGTCATCCCTACTAATCCTTTTAAAACGTTTCTCTGTTTTAGCTCTCGCATGGAGTTGTCCAAGTGCAGTTTTATGATGGATCCGTAGTGTCTGTTATTCCGCACATACAAGGTGGAGGCATAACTTTTACCCAGCCCAATGGAACTTCAACCCACTTCGGCAAAGACGACGACTTGCCATTCGCGGTCAGAGATAGAATCAGTCAGATTCCCAACATTCAGTTAAAGTTAAAGACCGCTCCAATGCTGGTAAGCGGCAGGAAGATTGACTACAACAATGCAATGACTCCCAAAACGACAACGCCTTGCTATAATCGCATACTTTTATAACTAAATCAAACAAGTCCGCTCAAATAGTTTCTTAAGTTTGAACGAATATATTTTTATTGTAAATTAATGGTAAATATATATTTTATAAGTTTTTCCCTGTCCTCATTATAATGTTTAAATCATATGGTTTGATTAAAAAATGTTTAAAGTAAATAATAAATTTGACCAAAATTAACATTTAAAGATTTGCCTAATTTTAATTGAATGAATTTCGGGTAGGTTTAACCAAAACCATTTTATTTTTCTAAAATTAAGTCTCAGTCCTGAATCCACCAATCGATTGAAAGAGATTTTATCGTTGATTTTACTCAAACATTTTTATTTAATTTTTAAAAGTCTACGTGTAAACACTTTTATGTCGTTCTACCTTTTTGTATAAGTGTGAGGTTAGAAAAGTGTAGTATAAAATATATTATTATTATTACGTAGGTGTATATATTAAATACAAGATAAATATATATTTATACTTACTCCAATCTTTAGATTAACATTGTCTTATAAAACTGCTGCTACCGTACTTACAGAAATACTACGGCAGGATTCGTATTGCTTTCAAGTTGTAGATGCAATAGTGAAATATACACATGTAAAAGTAATTTCTTGTACAGATTTTAAAGATAATCATGCACGGATGGATTATACTATATAATGTTAAGCTGCTAATTAGCTTACGTATTCGTATTTTAATAAAATGCATTCGGCAATTCAGAAGAATCAATTTGAGCATAAGAATTTGTCTTTTATGTTTGTGTGTGTTTATTTCTTGAAAGGTGAAAGCAAACAGAAACATAATAATAATTGTAAGCTAACTTAATGTAATGGACGGAAAATTAATGTTAGTCAAAGAGTGCACGAATATAAAAAGCAGGATTTCAGTGGGATATTTTCATTTGGCAGTGTTTACTTGGATAAAACTGCTTACATATATGAAGACGTTTGAACATAAATAATAATTGAAGCCACTAACTCATGAAATGAACAAGCAAAACTTTAATCTTAGGTCTAAACAAAAAATCTTAACTAAAGCATGTCGGTTTTCGATGGAGTTTTGTTCATTGTTCGTTGTATGATGCGCGAAAATCTCAAATCGCGCTGGACTTCTCTTTAAGCTCAAATTGAATCTTCTGAAATATGTCCTAGAAGCGATCCTTTGAAGTAGCACTGTACTCGAGCTCGTTGAGGTTTTGGATCTCCTGCAACTCCTGGAACTTTTCGTGGTCTCGAATATGGGCATAGTTGGCGGACAGGCACATCAGATAATGCACCAGACTGAGCAGCACCAAAAGCGTGGATAGGGTGGCCAATATGAACATGACCTCTGCGTTCTCCACGCCGTCCTTGCAGAAAGCCTTGATCTCGTACTTTTCACAGACCTTCATATCCTCGAGTTTTGTGTTTGATGGAAACATAAAATCTGTAAGACAATTGAAATATTAGATAGTTGATATATATAAATTATTTTGATAAGACTTACGGAATTGTGTCAAATCAATGCAGCTTTGGGAGTGCTCCACACTCGAGCACATGTTCCAGAACATTGTGTAAATGAAGGTTACCACAACCAGGAAACACAGGATCAGGCTCCAGACAAAGTTTAGCAGGTAGGTTATGCCCATGAGAACGGCGCATGAGATCCGACCGCCCACTCGCGATCGCCACGCCCTGTAGACCTTATATCTGGTGGCACCGGTGGCCAGAAATCCGACGAAGAGAATCATGAATCCGAGGGCTGCCATGCCGGCTCCAATTATTACAAATATCATCTGCACCGCCTCGATCCTAAATAAATTAGATAGTTCAAGTAAATCATATTTGGGCAGTGCTAATTAACTGCTCACCATATCAGTCGCAGGTGAAAGACCTGGTCAACCATAATGACGGTGAGTGAGGCCCCTCGGTACATGGTGAAGCAGAAGATGCCCACTCCCAGGAGGCACATGAGCGTGGCTATCAGAGTGGCGTATGGAATACGCGCCATGCATGATTGGCAGCATTCTCCTGGAAAGATAAAGTGCAATTTATGAGATATAAAGTAAAACCTTATCTTATACAATTAGTAATGTTTCGAAAATAATATATGCAGGGTGACTAAAAAATAAAATATTTATTAGTGAGAAATCAAAAACTCATATGAAATTAAATTTATTTTGGTTTAAGACCTACTTTAATTTAAACTGTGAATTACTTTTTTATATTATTATGTTTTTTATTGCGAATGCAAATCTATATAAATTTTTAAGGCAAGTGTCTAAATAAATTCATAAAGCATTATTAACATTAAATGTAATCTTGAAATTATCATCATAGTTTTGTGAATTTTTAGCTCTTAATAATCATATAAATAAGTGGTTAATTAATTATAAATTTACAAGAATTAAGTCACCACAGAGGGAAGAAAATAACTACAGATATACTTATAAAAAGAATTTAAAGTAAGCTAAATGAGAAATGTGGATAGCGTTTTAAAAACATATGTGCGGGTACATTTTAGACGAATACACATAGAGACGAATACGAGTTGCTTGTGCAAGCATAGGTGGAAAAAGACAGTGATAAGATAACAGGTGAACCAGCGACTATTGGTTACAGGTTGTCCAGTGATTCACGTAAAGCAAAATAAGCACAAGGTGTACACACAATTCTGTGAGAGTGATGTCGTTTAATGGCACAATCGGAATGCATTAAGTGATCCGGGAATAGCCTGGATTTCGGATCGTACCTTCGCCTCCGCGCTCTGTGTACCTGTCCAAGGAGTGATCCGAGCGGTACGAGTTGCGTCTGCGGTTCTGGATGGACGGATTGTACGGATTTCCGTTGTAGGCGCGCGTCAGGACTCCGCCATCGTCCTCGAAGTTCGTCTCGAGCAGGATCTCCTCGCGGGGATCCCGGATGCGATCGCGGTTGTTCCCCTTTCCCGGCATACTGCACAGTGCTTTTTGGGAATCGGGAGTTACAGAGATGTTTTAGTGCCCTTCGGATACAAGTGTTTGATCGACACACAATGATTCACACGCGCAGCGACGTCATCCAATCAAGAGTTCCAATGATTATAATTAGTCTTATAGTAATGACTGCGAACAGCGGACTGACGCTCCCGTACAAAAGAAAGCAAACTGAACAATTTCAAACTCTGAATGGGCTGTCGTTCGACATCGAATAGGTTCTCAGATCTCCGAAAGAGAGATAGCTAGGTAACTGGCTCTTTTAACTGCTCTTTCAAAGAGCGTAACGTTCTCTTACAACGATATGAATACACAGAACAAAAATATCGACACGTTTAAACTAAAGTTCATATATGTAAATCATAATTTATATTTTGTTTTATTTAAAACAAGAATTTTCTTTTCTTTAAAATATGGCTTCTTCGATATGGATGGCTATAAAAAATAAATATTTTTTAAAATAATATCTCATTTTGTATTTTTTTTCACCCGAGTAAAGTTGTTTAAAGACCCGAATTTCTCCATGAGTAAACTGTCGTCTTTAAATCAAACAATATTAGTTCCAAACTTGTAGCGTTAGGATGAAATTTTATAATAAATACAAAAATACAAAAAAAATACAAATATTTGTTTCAGCGTACAGAAAACAAGATTTAATTAATGAGACAATTAGTTCGAACTTGCTGGGAGAAGTTCACTGCTTCTGTCAGGTCAAAGAGTCACACTAATAAAGGAAATAAGATAACCCCATAGAAATATAAGAGGGAATTAACTTTTTTTAATTTAAGTTAATTTTCCGATACCCAGGTGCCCAGGTAAAACTTTCTTAATTCTGATCAAAATTATAAATATATTTACCATGCATGTGTAAATTATTGGGTCATTTTGTTACTGTTACTGTTACATCTGTTAATGTAGCACGAAAACAGTACATCCTTGTTCCCCTATAAAGTATGGCATTCATTTCCTTCAAATGTAACTAAGCTTATTATGTGCTTAGTGCCAGCTTAGAGTCTATCCAAGACAGACGGGACAACGACCTCAGAGGAGCAAAATAAAAAACATCCAGATGACATCCTGCCAGCGAAGCGAGTGAAGAGCCTAGGCCCATTAAATGCATCCGCATTTGAGAGATTCTCACCGGAAGTGGAAGTCCCGCGGAGTCTGTGGCAGACGGAATGGAATGAAAATTGCCACCGAGGCTTTGCACCAGATGCCGAAAGCTGGGTGCCAATGACACCAAGACACAAGCAACGGCTTGGCATTAGAGCTAAACATTAATTCCGGTAGCGTGCAATGACTCTTGGCGCACGAAATAATGTCAGCTGCTAGAGCGTAAATATAATAATTCAGGAAGACGAAGTGCAAACTTTAATACTCTTGGCAGCTCTGTCAAGATGGAGTTTAATTATTCGGAGACAACAAGCCTAAAAAGTTTTCAATTTTATTGAAAAAACTCAGCAAACGACTATGCAATCCAAACTTTTAGCCTTAGATTTTAATTGTATGCACATGTATTAAGAAATACAAATTTTTTATAAAATTATTTTAATTTTATTGTAGGGGAGAGTGGGCTTAGGATATGTTCAAAACATTTTAACTAAATGGGGACACATTATTAATCTTGACTTGTTTTAAATAAACCAACTATCCTTTCTCCACTCTTTTCTTTAATAAATCATTTAATTGATAATGACCACTGAACATTTTATTGTAGGGAGTGCAATTTCTATATTACCTTGTGGTTTATTATACAACACTCAAAAGAATTTTTAATTAAAAAAAAATTACAATTGTTAGTTCATTGAAGCTAAATAAAATATTTAAATTTACTGAAGACCTTAAAGAAGTTGTTTGACTCAATATAATAACTATTATCAACTAGTGTCACTTTTAAAGGGATAATGCCTTTTTTTCTTAATGTCCTGTTAAAGAAGAGTTGGCCAACATTTTTTGGATAGAGGTCGACCATCAATGAATGCACATATTTAAAAACAAACAGTCTTTACTGCATGGCAAACTTCGAACCAAAACAGCAATACCCTTATATTACAGCAAAAACCCTGATTTCCAAGTGCTTGTCACTTGTTTTAATATTTTTGCTTAATTTCATTCAATACTTTATCTCATACGATTTACAATGCAAGCTTAGTGAGGATGATTATTTTCCTGGGAGTTTTAGAGTTTAACAACTTTGGTGAACCCATAGTGTTCGCCCAACTTACCCATTTTGAATGGCTGTGAATTGATACCAGTCTCCGCAATTAAATTATTTCATTTAAATATTTCCAACTAGCAATGCAAGTAGTTCTGCAGTGCAATTTGTGAGTTGTGTTGGAATTTCTGAAAACTTTTACATCTGTTTGTAGGTATACACAAACGCACAAACACTCGCTCTACTTTGGCACTCAAAACAAGTTTTAAGGTGTGAGCTTCGAAGTGGAAGGGTAAACTAAACTCGCGCTTAAACTATTGGCGTTGCACTTGATGATTGGATTGAATTGCGATAATAACCGAAAACCACAGGTGGTTATATTGACGGTGCTTTTAGTTATTTCCTTGCTCGCATTTATTATCCTAGGCCTCCTGAACGACAACTGAATTTGACCAAAAACAAAGAGTATCTACATCTACACAATTCTTGTTGCGATTACGAAGCTGGTTTTATGTACATCGATAGCACTATCGATACGGCAAGCGTTAGTCCGTTTTGTTTGGTATATTTTAGTTGGTATATATTATTTTTAATAAGTTTTACTAGTTGGATTAATATTTAAATTTAACTAAATTTAAATTTAACTACAAGTGCCAAAAAGTAACATGCGTTAAATCTGTACATTCAAATTATTAAAATATGTTGGAGAGCAATACATTCATTAAAGGGGATTCCCGTACCATCTCTAGTTTAGCTTCTTGGCTATCGATAGATCGCGGGCCAACCGATAGTTCTGGCCATCTTCCATCGCCTGTTGGTCTTCAGTGGATTTTTTTGCAAATAAAATTGATATTAGCACTTGAAGTGCCGGAATAGCAGCTAATTTGGCTGTGGCAATACCCGCATCAGATATTAGGGAGCCCCATAAAGCTATCCAAGCGATGACCAGGACGTGAGAGCGGTGGACTTGCAAACCGGCCATCCATTTACACATTATTGTTGTTGCTGGGCTCTGCACTCTGAAACTCGACGAATATATTTGCTTTTGCTGATGTGTTTCGGCCAAAAGCAGCGCATCGAATCGCCGCACCGACTGCATATATTGCCGCTCCATTAGCTGACGCAAGCAATTTGTCGCTGGAGGTGTTTTCAATGAGCTACCATTGAAGACAGGAGTTTAGGAAATCCGCCATTCAGACAGACAGAGTCAGCCGGCAAACATGCTCCACCTCCTGTTGGTCTTCCTCATGGCCACGGCCACTTCGGCCGAGGATTCCCTCCAGCGCATCCGGCGAGCCGCCATTGATGTGGATGTCGCGACTGCCATGCACAACATCATCGACCTGGCTGAGTGCCAGGACCTGAAGAAGCTCTGCACGCACCACAAGTCCACCGACAATCTGTCCATGCTGGAGTGCGCACTGACCTTCAGCTCCAGCCAGCTGGAGGAGCTGCCCGAGGGTTGCCAGCATGCCCTGTGGACGCAGCAGCGCCAGTTGCAGCTGCCCGCCTGGATCGAGAACACCTTTCTTCCCGCCTATTGTCCCGCCGAACGGACCAAGCTGGAGAGCTGCCTCAACTCCGTGCACCTGTGGAGCTGCCTCGACCAGCAGCGATTGAAGCTGCCCCAGAACAACGCCTGTCACCAGCACCTAAGAAGGGCCTACGAGGCTTTGGGTCAGGATTACAGTGCCGTGGATGAGTTCTACACCGCCTGCGGCCAGCTCGTGGAAGAGCACAAATGCGGTCGGCTGAACATTGACCACCTGCCCTCCGTCCTATCGCAGTTGGGCACGGTGCAGTGCCTCCAAGCGAGCGCCAACAAGGCCAGCCTAGAGCCAATCTGCCAGAGCTCCATCAACTCCATTGGTCTGCAGCGTGGAATGCTGGAACTGTTCCGGGTCTGCCAGGACGATCTCTCGTCCCTGTGCTCGCAGGTATGTGAAATCTTTGAGAGACTCTGGAGGCAACCACTTGGTAACACTTTAAACAGACTGCGAGATAAGGGAGCTAAAGGTCACTAATCGAAATTCGGGGTGAATCATTTTTGGAAACAGTTCACTATTGCCCCAAATACTGTATATAAGATTAGAAGAAATTATTTAAATTGGGCAATACAAAATGATTGCAGTAAATTTAATGACATCTTTCCATTCTAGCAAAAATCTTACAAAATTCCACATATCCAAAAACATATCATGTGCCATTACCTATAGTTAAAAAAAATCATTCAAGTTTATAGTTAATAACTGGTAATTTGTATATTTTTGTTTCAGGAAAAGCCCGGCACTGCTGGCGGGTTTAAGTGCCTGGTGCGGCACAAAAACCATCCCTCGATGTCGCCACAGTGTGCCTCGCAGATCACTCTGAGGGATCAGCAGATGGGCCGCGATTATCGCGTGTCCCACGGACTAGCCAAAGCCTGTAAGGAGGACATAAAGCTGTACCACTGCCGGCGGGGCGTTTCCGAGGATAAGCACGTTCGGTTGGCCCAGATCCTGCTCTGCCTGGAGTCGGTGTCTAAGAATGGGACAAAACTGGCGCCCGCTTGTCTCACCGAGTTGACCGATCACCGACGCATGCTGATGACCGACTATCAACTGTCGCCGGAGCTCCTGAACGACTGTGCCGATGATATACCCAAGTTCTGTCCGGATGAGCACAAGGCGCAGCTGGTGAACGGCATGACCAGTACGGGTGGCGAGATCATCCACTGTCTGCTGGAGCACGTCAAGGCCAGGCGTCAGCAGCGAAGGGTGACGGCGCAGTGCCAGCGTGGTCTGGAGACCCTGATAAAGGCCAGCGATGCTGGCGAGGATTGGCGCGTAGATCCGGTGCTGAGGCGGGCCTGCAAGCCAGTGGTGGATGTGGTCTGCAAGGATGTACAGGGAGGCGACGCTCGAGTGATGAGCTGCCTGGTGGAGCACATTGGCACACCAGTGATGCTTCCAGAATGCGAGCAGGCGCTCCTCATTATAGAGTACTTTGTGGCCAGAGACTTCAAGTTGGATCCCCAGCTGTACAAACATTGCCGCGATGACGCAGTGAAGTACTGTCGTGCCAAGAAACAGTGGGATGATGCGCAGAACATACAAATGGATCCGGAGCGGGGACCCATGATCCTGCCCTGCTTGCACCGCATGGCTTTCAGCGAGGACGAGCATCAGACCTTGAGGAAGGACTGCTTTAAGGAGGTTAAGCGTGTGATGAGACAGCGCGCCATATCGATGGACTTGATTCCCGAGGTGGAGGACTACTGTCTCAACGATCTCTCGGCTTTCTGCTCTGACTGCACCGAAAAGGGCACTGAAATGGAGTGTCTGCAGAAAAACATGGACCAACTGCAGCCGGAGTGCAAGTCAGTGGTGGTCAAGTACACGGAGGAGGAGGCTGCTCACGTGGAACTCAATCCCGTCATCATGAACGTCTGCGGTGAGGCCATGCAGCAGCACTGCTCGGCGATCCTCAAGAGCGGAAAGGATAATGGTAATAACTATTAATCAGTACTTATTTTCTTAGAATTAATAAACAATTATAATCCCTTTCAGGTGACATGATGGACTGCCTTATAGCGCACAAAAATGACGCCGATCTGCGCAAGGATCTGCGCTGTCGGGCCGCCATCGAGCACTTCCAGATCATCTCGCTGAAGAACTTTCACTTTACGACCAAGTTCAAAGAGGCCTGCCGTCCGTATGTGCAGCGCTTTTGCACCTCAAGTGCCACCAAAAACGAGGTGGTGGCCTGCCTCAGCGAGGTGATGCGCAACGACACGATCAAGGCGCAGCGCCACCAGATCCCCAAGGAGTGCCGTCACCAGGTGAAGGCGCAACTCTACCAGCAGCGCGAGAGCATCCAGCTGGACCCCAAGCTGGCCAATGCCTGCAAGCGCGAGTTGGAGCAGTTCTGCGATGAGGAAAAGGGGCCCGGTCAGGTGAATGAAAAAGCAAGTTGTCTAACTCATCCTTAACCACTCAAACAATTTAACACTGCGTTGGCAATGGTTAACTTCAATTGGATTTAGAAAATATTGTTCAAGGACAAAATACTATAGAATTTGTTGGTAAAAGCTAACACTATATTACAAAGTTTAACGTTTCCTTTTAACATTTAAAGAATAACTTAATATTCTACTTATTTAAACAAATATTAAAAAACTTTTTTCTACTATAGAAGTCTAAACTATTGCCAATATGCCTCCGGTTTAAAACATTTCACATCCAAAACCAGAAAAACTACCAAAATATTAAGTACTTAATTGTTCTAAATTTTAACTTTTTCAGGCCCTGGAGTGCCTAATAAGAAAGACGAACAGTTTGGGCAAGCCCTGTCATCATGCCATCTTTATGGTCAAGAAATCGGAGTTGGGCGACAGCGGCACTGATTATACGCTTCTTACCACCTGCAAGGAGATGATCTACAAGTTCTGTCCCAGCACAGATTCGGCGAAGCTATTGGACTGCCTCAAGACGTACAAGGATGACACGCAGTTCGACCAGCGGTGTCACCTGGTGGTGGTCAATCGCATGATCGAGCAGAATACAGATTTCCGCTTCAATCCCTCGCTGCAAAGTGCCTGCGGAAAGAACATCGATCGCTATTGCTCCAACATTGTGGCCAGCGCTCTGCCCAATGAGGAGCTCAATGGAAAGGTAAGTTTTTTGCCGTTTTCGTTTGTCAAACTAAGAATATTGTTAAATCTAAAACTTTACTGCTTATATAATAGAAAAATATTTACACTTTCTAAATAATCAATCGTATGGCACTCCACTAAAACTCCATATCCTCTCGCTGCAATCGCCCATTGTCGGGATCATCGATTGCGGCCGTCAGAGTGTCCAATAAATCTTCTCCTTTAGTTATCTCCAAATTAAGTTGATTGTATGGTCCACTTGCACTGGTCAAAGGACTCAGTTCGCTGGGATGGCCATCGATGGCAAATGAGGTCCACATCTCCACCATTTTCTGTGCCATCTGAGTGTCCTGCCCCTCAAGAGGATGAGTGGCGAACAGATAGATGTTGTCGTTCGAGTGATGCACTCCTCCATTGAATGGATAGTGTGAGTTGCCGAACTCATAGCCAAATCGAGTGTATTTGCCCTCGTACTCAAAACTATATAGATAAACGGGCGATGACGGTTGTGAGGTGTAGATTTTAGTGGCCAGCGTTATCACAGGGGATTTCATAAAGATTGCCGAAGTCAGCTGAAAGAAAATAATTATTTCCGTTTCTCTGCTGAGCATTGAATCTTGAACTCACATCAAAGTAAGGGGGAACTGCAGCATTGTGATCATGGCTGTTGAGTATCTTTGGCCTAAAGAGCAGGCGACTCAAAATGTTATCCGTGAGTCCCGAAGTGTCATTAACCATGTCATTAATACCTTGAGAAAACTGGCGAACACTTAACAAACTCACATTGGACATCTTGGCTGCCAGAGCATCATAATAGGCTGCAGTAAAATAGTTTTTAATCATGTTGAATAATTAAAAATTAGACTTATAGTCACACTCACTTGCTAGTACGAAGGAACCATCATGTTGAGTAAATCCTGTAAGCAAGGGAATCTGTTTGCTATAGCTTTTTACGAGCTCATTGGGTTGTTGCGGCAGGATGCCCTGCAAATCACCTACAATAGGCGAAAAAGACTCTGAGGTTGTGGCCACCAGAATATCTTTAACTTTAGCCTTTTGTAAGCACTCCACCAGCTGATCCGGCTGTTCACAGCTAGGACATCCCAACTTAATACAAATCCTTTGTGATTGTGCCCGTGGATCCTTGTTAATAGCCCAACTGGCGAAAATCGAACCGGACTGCACAATGGCTCGCTTAAACAGATTGTCGCCAGTTCGGGGACTCAGCAACAAAGAACTAGCTACTCCAGCTCCGGCACTTTGGCCAAATATAGTCACCCTTTCGGGGTCACCACCAAAGCGATCAATATGCAGTTGTACCCATTCGAGAGCCAGTAGAATATCCGCAATGGGAGCATTTCCAGGAAGCTCTTCCGTGTATGTCGACAGCCAGCCGAGGGCTCCAACTCGATATTGGGGTACCACAAGTACCACGTCCTTCTCTAGGATATAGTTTGGTGGGTGATCCTCGGCTGATCCATTATAGTAGCCTCCGCCATAAATGTAAAACATTACAGGCTGGCTTGCAGAGAGCTAAAAAATATAGGTATATGTTTCTTTTATATGTTAATATGTTTGATACCAAAATCTCAGCACTTTGGAACCCAATGGGCCACTTTATGCTTATCATAATCCAATTAAGCCCATCATCTTAATTTGTAAACCTAATTTCTACTCACATTTTTGGTGTAGACCGACAAATTGAGGCAATCTTCGAGTTCAGCATCAGACAACTGGCCATCCAGATTGGTTATCACGGGACACCGTTGTCCAAAGTTCAGTGCGCCGAGGGTGCCCGTCCATGGTGAGCGGGCCACAGGTGGCTAATCACCGAAATATAGAATAGAAAGCACCTCGTCATAAACCAGCTTATCAGTTGAGACGACGCAAAACTTAAATGTCAATAAAACTCGACATCACAGAAAAAAAAAATAGTGAAACGATAGCTTCGTAGCTTCGTCATAATTAAACCAAAATAAAAGTCATTGATTTATTTTAGGATGATATTTTAAATTTTATAAAAATATAGTTATATAGGGCATGAGATCTAACTCCAATTGTATAAAGACTTCGATCCGCTGAGGTAGCTTTCCTTATTGCGTTGGTTTAAAATGTTTTGTGTTTGTTTGTGAGCCAACTTTTAAACTTAACTGACTTACCCGAAAACGCAACTCCTCCGTTGGTGGTTCGGCAAAGGGAATGCCACGAAATTGCATAAAAGTTTGATCCGTCCAAGCTGTGTAGCCATAATTGCCAAGCACTTCCCCCTGGCCATTGGATAGTTCCACCTTTACTGTTGCATCGGATGCATCTGCTACTTGCCCGCCGGTGAGGGTGACCACTAGAAAAGCGGTTAGAGCAGCGGTCACCACACCGCACAACGTCAGCATCACGTATACGCCGCGTCTACGCATCAGACCCGACTGAAGTCAACTTTGGACGCGAACTGAATCGAGAATGAAACGGGTGTGATGTCTAACGAACTGCTTGTTACGATTAGCGGCATAACTTGACGGTGACGAGCACATGGCGAATTAAAAAAAAAAAAGAGTAAAAGGTTTACTGATATGGCTTAAATGTCTGTTTGGCTGGCCGTATGAACGTCGGAGATCTCGGAAATTTCTATAAGAGCTAGACAATTGGGATTAAATATGAAGATTCAATCGATGCCTATACAGCGTTTCATAATCGCAATCATTTCCTTATCTGCGTTACGCTTTTGCAATCCCTGTCAATTAAACAAACGTTCAATTGGGTATTCATTAACGGGTCAAAACATTTTTATTTATATTGCTTTTGTAGGAAATGATTGCCTTTCGTCTTTTAAATCTTATCTAAGCTATAATTATTGTTTATAAATATTTTTATTATTTAACTAATTTAACATGACTGAGACGGTCAATAAGTCAAGTAAGACTGGCATTTTGCAAGTTATAAACAACATTTCCTTAAAATTAATGCATTTCTTAAATTCTTATATATATGATTACTTTGTAGGTTATTCACTGTCTAAAAGACAAGTTCCGCCAGTCGGCGCTGGACGAACAGTGTGCTAAGGAGATGATTAAAATCCTGCAAGAGCAAGCCCTCAACTACAAGTTGAATCCCCTGCTGCAGGTGTTCTGCAAGTCGGAGATCCAGGAACTGTGCAAGGCGAATATTGATTCCGACGAGCATGGCCAGGTGGCTGAGTGCCTGAAGACGGCCTTCCTGCAAAAGCAGATAATCAACGTGCAGTGCCAGATGGAGGTGGCCGCTCTGATAGCCGAAGCTAAGGCCGACATCCATGTAGATCCTATTTTGGAGACATCCTGTACCGTAGACCTGCTGCGGTACTGTTCCAAGGTGTCCGCCGGAAATGGTCGCAGTAAGTTGACATTATGATACTGATATTATAAAAGATATGATGAAAAGATAATTTTTTGAAAGAAAGATATTTTAAAATTATTTCAAAAACCAAAATCCGTGGTTCTGTTATCAAAGCAAACAAATGATTATTAAACAAATTGAATTGCAGTTACATTTTTATGGTCAATCAATTAAAAAAGTATAGTTTCATCAACGTACATTATAAGTTTGATACTTTCCTAAATTTGAATAAAACTAAAAACAATTAAAAAACTATATCATCTTTACCCCGTAGAGTTGAACTGCCTGAGGACGCTGCTGAAGGATACGCCAAACTCGCTGGAAGCGGACTGCCGCGAGAAGCTGGAGCGGCGCATCGAGATGTTCCGGAATGCGGACGACACGCTGGCGCTGCCGCCCGAGGATATGCAGCAACTGGTGCAGCAGGTGGTCGCCTCGCCATCGCACAAATTCTTCCTTGTGATACTAATGAGCGCCACGGGCTTGGTCTTCCTCACCGGCATCTTCCTGGGACGGGCCACCAAACGTGCAATGGGCTTAAAGAATAAATAATTCAATTAGTATAGACTGTAGTTGCTGCATAGGCAGAGTGTGCATGTGCATGTTTGTGAGCTTGTTGTTTTCCATTTCGGCTGACCCATGACCCATGACCCATGACCCATAACCGATTCCGATCCTTACTTTCTGTCGCCCTCCAGCCTGCCTGCCTTTTAGATATTTGTGTGAGCAATTTGTGGCTTAATCGTTTATAAGACCAAAAATTAAGCGAAAAAAGAGAAAACAATAAACAATAATTCTAGTTCCATTCTTAGGGCCTTTTTTGTTATACCTTTTTTTGTAACAATTTCACCTGTATATTAAATTGTATTTTTGTAAGCAAACGCTAATTGCATTTTTAAAAATCTTAATAACGTTATGGCACCAACCAACAGGTGTTTTTGGACGGGGCATTACATGTGCATAATCTTAGTTTTCAGGAAATTCTCAGCACACTTGGAAAAAATATCTTGGTATTGAAATAATATTGCAAAACTAGAAAAAAAGGTGAGATTTTATTTTTAAAAATGAAGAATCACTTAATAATCTTTTTAGAAGTTATAGAACGCTGTTATTAAAAATTAAATATTTTCCGTTACATTTTTTTTAGCTCAACAAGTGGTTTAGTATATTAAAGTATGTAATGGTATTTTTTAGTATATTTCCGTGAACCGGTTGGTTTATTCTAATGGGTATGTTGCGGTCACACTACTGACAAGTCAATTGGAACAAAAAGATTTTCTGCCGTGAGAAAAGCTTCCAAAAAGGTTTTAAGTGCCTAAAAATAGTTAAACTAATCGGAAATTGTATAGAAAGAAACAAGTGCCTCGTAAAAGTGTTACCTTAAAAGTGCGAGGATGGTGATAGCAAAAGTTCAATAAGAATTTACAAAAAGCCAAGTAAGCAAGACCACTTCATCACATCACAGGCACCAACACAAGTGCAGCCGAAACGGGTTCTATTAAAATAGCTAACGTAGCAAGCACAGATTAGTTCAAAATATTAGCAGTCAACAATTAAATAGATAAAAAATATTTCATATATAAAAAAAAATCTGATTGGAAGGAAGAGGGCCTATTAGATTTAAAAAGAATTCAGGAACTAAATAAATGTTTTGTGATTTTTATAAATTCAACTGAATAAGTTGCGTTCCAGGCGTTATATATTAGCATCAATAAATCATGGAGCAAGTTTTTAACTAAGTTCATAATTATTTGATTGAAATAAAACTGCATTAATTCATGAAGTTAAAAATATATTGTAAAATAGAAAAAACATTTTTTTTCTTTCAGTATTTTTTACTGTTTACGACTATTATTTTGCCGGCTGCTGTAGCGACAATGGACGGCGTTAAGGTTGAGGCGTTCATCAAGAGCGAAGGTGAGTCCAGTCACCCGAGTCATTGCACCTTGGAACCCATTCTGACACAGCCATTGCCCTCTGACCTTGCAGAAAGCCGAGCGATGCCCCTGCTGGGTGGCGGCGGTTCATCCGGAGGCACTTCGATCGCTGGAGGCGGCGTGGGACTGGGAGCCGGAGCGTCTGCCACGCTGAGCGTGGAGCTGTGCCTGGTGTGCGGAGATCGCGCCTCTGGGCGGCACTACGGGGCCATCAGCTGCGAGGGCTGCAAGGGCTTCTTCAAGCGCTCGATCCGCAAGCAGCTGGGCTACCAATGCCGCGGGGCCATGAACTGCGAGGTCACCAAGCACCACCGGAATCGGTGCCAGTTCTGCCGCCTGCAGAAGTGCCTGGCCAGCGGCATGCGAAGTGATTGTAATTTTCGTTTAAGTCGTCGTCTCAAGCTATTACCGAATCTCTGGCCTGGCCAGAGTCTACGTGCTCCAGCAGGCTATAGCAGCAGTTAATACGAGGAGTTCTTTTAAAAGAAGCTAGGCCTCTTAAAAGCTTATAAATCTTGTGAGGAATTTTTAACTTAAAGGGGTGTAGTACATAATGAACTTGTCATTAGGAAGTGGATACATACAGCTGCGGTCATGAAAACAGTAGTTCTTTAGCTTATGGAAATAGCAATCAAATCTAGTCCATTGGCACATATAAAAGTCCACATTTATCACGGTAAAGAATATTGATATTCATTTTAATTGAAAAAAGGAATAGAATTATGTTTTTTTTTTTAAATTTGTTTTATGTTTTTAATGCAGTATCTTATTGTTGTTTACACCATTGAAGATAAAAATAATGTTACTTGGGGGTGATTTTTGAAAATAAGCAAAGTTTAGCAGCTGTCAAGAAATTTAGTGGAGCTTATATTTTCTGTTTAGTAATTTAATTAATTTTTTCTTAGAATGCGAATGTTTATTATAATCAGATACACATTATTTTTAGCCTACATTTTACTTCAAAGCAACATGCGAAACTAATTGCTGTTGCAGCGTTAGCTTCTCTTACAATGAATATCCAATGCAATTAGTTGCTCATCATCTTAAACCTGCAGCTGCGGGGGCACAAAAGATTCCCAACCAGCACACACACACACACACACACACACACTAACCATCTCACCCACTTACTCACCTCGCCTGGAAAATCATCGAACCGCATCTTAATACCACTTCTTGCTCTAATTAATTGCTTTCCGTTCTCTGCAACTTTGATTCACAGCTGTGCAGCACGAGAGGAAACCGATTGTGGACAGAAAGGAGGGCCTCATCGCCGCCGCTAGTGGCTCATCCACATCCGGCGGTGGAGGCAGCTCCTCCACCTACCTCTCCGGCAAGTCCGGCTATCAACAGGGCCGCGGCAAGGGGCACAGTGTCAAGGCCGAGGCCGCGGCCACGCCCCCAGTGCACAGCACGCCAGCAACGCCTTTCAATTTGAACGAGAATCTATTCCCAATGGGACTGAATTTTGCAGAGCTAACGCAGACATTGAGTAAGTTCGACTTGCAATTTGAATTGCATTAAGTTAATAAGATTGACTCATACAGTTTAAAAGTTCAAAAGGTCAGTGTTTGTACAGTAAAAGGTCATGCAATAGTCTGATTTACTTATTCCAAGCTTGGCTATCGATTTTATTTATTGCATCTTAAAGATACATTTTTAAATTAAAGAAGTTAGAGCATTGGCTTGTTAATATTAATAATTGTTACTATAAATACAACTAAATAAATAGGCCTTCTTTTGATTGAGACCTTTATTTTCCAGTGTTTGCCACCCAACAGCAGCAGCAGCAGCAACAGCAGCAGCAGGGTGGCAGCTACTCTCCAGATCTTCCAAAGCCAGATCCCGAGGATGACGAGGACGACTCAATGGACAACAGCAGCACGCTGTGCCTGCAGCTGTTGGCCAATAGCGCCAGCAATAACAACTCGCAGCATCTTAATTTCAATGCCGGAGAAGCACCCAGCACACTGCCCACCACCTCGACGATGGGCCTCATCCAGACCTCGCTGGACATGCGGGTCATCCATAAGGGACTGCAGATCCTGCAGCCCATACAAAATCAGCTGGAGAGGAGTGGCAATCTAAGTGTGAAGCCTGAATGCGATTCAGAGGCGGAGGACAGTGGCACCGAAGATGCCGCCGATACCGAACTGGAGCACATGGACCTGGACTTTGAGTGCGGTGCCAATCGAAGCGGTGGCGGTGACTTTGTGGTCAATGAGGCGCTCTTCGAACAGGATCTTTTGACGGATGTGCAGTGCGCTTTTCATGTCCAGCCACCGACCTTGGTTCATTCGTATTTGAATATTCATTATGTGTGTGAAACGGGCTCGAGGATTATCTTTCTCACGATCCACACGCTTCGAAAGGTTCCCGTTTTCGAGCAACTGGACGCCCATGGCCAAGTGAAGCTCCTGAGGGGAGCCTGGCCAGCTCTGATGGCTGTAGCTTTGGCTCAATGCCAGGGACAGCTGTCGGTGCCGACCATTATTGGGCAATTCATACAGAGCACTCGCCAACTGGCGGATATCGATAAGATCGAACCGCTGAAGATCTCCAAGATGGCCAATCTCATCAGGACCCTGCACGACTTTGTCCAGGAGCTCCAGTCGCTGGAGGTCACGGATCTGGAGTTCGGCCTACTACGGCTTATCTTACTCTTCAATCCCTCGCTCTTGCAGCAGCGCAAGGAGCGCCAGCTGCGAGGATATGTCCGAAGGGTCCAGCTATACGCCTTGTCCAGTTTGAGGCGGCAGGGGGGAATCGGAGGAGGAGAGGAGCGCTTCAATGTGCTGGTAGCTCGTCTACTTCCACTGAGCAGTCTGGAGGCGGAGGCCATGGAGGAGCTGTTCTTCGCCAATTTGGTGGGTCAGATGCAGATGGATGCCCTGATTCCGTTCATCCTGATGACCAGCAATACCAGTGGACTGTAGGTGGAAATAAGAACAGGGGGAACCGGGGGCAGGCAACAATGCTGAGCCGCCCAAAAGCAAGACTGATGATGGACCAAGTGCGGGCAATACACTTAGCAATTAGGCAAATCCCGATAAAATATATATATAATATTCTTTAGCAGACAATATTCTAAAGCAAAACCTTGGGTTTATTGTTGTTCACAGATTAAATGGAATCGATTTCCCAATAAAAGCGAATATGTTTTTTTTTTAATGAGTGTTAAGCGATCCGTTACTAGTTTTAAGATTGCGTATATTTTGTATTGCCTTTTAATTTTATTACAAAAATAATTTTGATAAGTTGTAAACTATCCAGATCAATAAATTCTTTCCATAAAGGAATTCATGTAATTGCAATTGAAATTATTTAATTTTATATGACGTTCTAAACATTCCCTTTAAATTAGTTACTTTTTGTCGCTTTCTTAAGCTATAAATTACCAAAACTTCAGATGAAAATGATTATTTTAGTAAGCACCATATTTTAGAATTATGCTTTATATTTTTTAGGAAAATATTTTGATTGTATACAATAGTAGCTAGACGAACACCATCTAAAAATGCATTTAAACTTTACGACCTAATCTAAAGTACAATGGCGGACTACTGGGCCTCCTCCGGGATCTTTCTGGCTGGCCTGTGCTTCGCGTAGACCTCGTCGTTGAGACCCTCCCGATTCCGGGCAATCTCGATGGCCAGAAACTGGACGCGGAACACGAAGATGGAGTTGTCCGGGGAGAATTCCTTGCTGGCATCGGCGCGCATCAGGGTGCCGTACGAGTAGTCGTCCATCTTGTTGAACTTCTCGGCGAAATGCCGCCACTTGAGCTTCTCCACGGCGGATTTGAGGATGTCATCGGTGAGCCGGCCCACTTCGAGATCGGGGAAATCCTGCCGGAAGGTGGCATATATCTGGTCGTCGTAGGGCGTTAGTTTCACCTGGGAGGGATGTACGCTGGTGATGAGCTGCAGCAAGTGGGATATAATATTGTCAACCGATATTATTCAGGATTATGATTATGATCAACTCACATTGAAGTGAACCTCTGCGTGTTCCAGAGCTTTGGATGCCCACATTTCCTCGACCAGCGAGTCGTTGCCAAATTCATCTGCTGGCCGCGACAGCAGCGATGCTCCATGCTGGAAAACACTTTAATTAGGGCTTGCTTCTAGGCTTTTCCCACAACATACCATCATTTCCATTTCAAATTCAGTTGAGTGTAAAGTAAATCACGTTTCCCTAATTTAGAGCAGTGTGACCAGCCGCAAGTGACTGGAAAAATCCAACACAACTGCTTGCTTAATACTAAACTCAATTAGCAATTCAAAAGTACTTTAAATTCAAATTAAAAAATTTAAATTAAGTATTCTAAAAACTGGACATAATTAATAATTTTTATTTTAAAAGTTAACTAAAGTGGTTAATCTATAAAAACAACACATTGAAAAGCAAAGTACGAAGAGAAATTTTAATTTTAAAATATTTAAAAATATATCAAATATATAAAAAAAAATAACGCCTAAAAATCAGAGTAGTAATCTTCTTGTTGCTTTAAATGTCAGTTAATATCATTTTCCCTTTATTCACTTTCACATTTTCCACACGAAGTCCGACTTGCTAGGTTGTTGTTTTTATAACCACACATGTTATTAGCACACAACAAAAATTTCGGAAAACATGTTCGAAAGCATAAGTTTTCTCTTCCTGTTTGCCCTGGCCTTCGTTGCTTGGGTCCTGCTCTGCTTCCACGAGTTCCAAATCCAGTCCCGGGGCTCCTCCGATTACCGAGTGGAACTCTATACAGGTGAGCAATATTTGAAATGCAAAATATTTTATAGAAACTGACTTGGCGGGCTAAAGGTGTTGGAACGTTTTAAATTAAATTAAAATTTACTAATTTTTACTGAAGTTGTGGTTTTCTTAAATAGCTCTTCTAAGACTAAATCATCTTTTATTTTCGAACGACCATTTATACAATTTGTATCCAATCAAATTGGTCACCTAAAATCCCAAGTTTAAAATAATACCTTCAAAATATAAATCAACAACAAATTTAAATATAACAATTTTTTATTTTTTTTAATAATTAGTTTTAGTATAGTACAGTACTTGTATACACGTATATATTGTTGTAACAATCTGTAAGTTTTTTTAATCAGTTTTTTATTTATTTGTGAATGAAAATATCAATAACATTTGGCCCTTTGTTGAAAAAGGAACTGATATGGGCAACATTAGCTATTTTTGGTACTTATTTTTATATTTCGTCTTTTTGCAGAATACCCCGGGATTACGTTTGAGCCGAACGTGTACCACATTCCATCGGAGCAGGAGCAAAATCCTTCGGGCGGGGCATTCGACTTCGCGAAGAGCTTCGGGGTGATCTTTGCCCTGACTTTTGGCCTGTCCAAACTTCTCCAGCTGGCGGAGATGCAGGCCAAGAGCTATTTCAAGTGTCTCAAGGAGCTCGGCGCTGCGGAGACGTGTCACCAGCATGAACCGAATCCATTCGAGCCATTGATAGACCACAGTGACGATCTGAAGGAGCAGCTGAGTATCCTACAAACGCAGTGCCTGGAAATGCGCGATCTTTTGAAAGATCTGCGGAACAGCAGCAGTTCCAGTAGCTATGGCAGTGCCCAATCCGGAAATGAAGTGGCTCAACCTCAAACCCATTCCTCCGAAGAACCCATGGTGGTGTGGCAGGAAACAGACTCCATGGGCAAAACAGTTTCCCAATCGTCATCGTCTCGGTTGGCCACTTCGCAGCAGCCCAGCCAGAATGTCTACATCACCAACAGTCACATTCACTTCAACGGACGCGTCTACCTCACGGAGAACCACGTCAATGTCGACCTTTGCCGGCAGTCATCAGTTTACGCCCGAAATCAGAGCGTGTTCCTCCAAGGAATGGGCAACTACATCAGGGAACCCAAGGAGCGACCCATTATAGCGGGCATGCGATGTAACAACATCCTCATGTGAATTACCAAAATCCCTCATTCACTCCTAATAAACATAGTTAACATATCGAAACGTTTTTCTTAAATTATTGCTTGTGTACAGAAAAAAACTCGTTATCAAATTGAAATTTTCAGTTTTAATATTAAACACTTATTTTATAATCAGACAGCCACTAACGGAGAAAAAAAGAAAAACAAGAAAGAATATGAATTTAACTTTTTTAATTTTATTTTCCTTTGGATCGTAAGGGTACATTTTTGCGGTAAATTTGAATTTATATTTGCTTGGAACTTTTTCTACCTGAATAAAAAAGTAGTTTATGAGCTGACCTGGCTCAATACATAACTCGGGAACCGCTATATATTATAGGTACACAGCTGTCGGACTATCCCCTATTTAAAGGCGGCAGGTAAATAATATTTTACACATGAAAGATATATAAAATGCCGATATCGTGGCAATTAAATTCAGAACGAAACTAACTCCCGACTATGTAACTTCTTTGCACGTTTATTTGCACATATCCTATACCTACAGAACAAAAATAACAGTAGTTTTCAAAATTTGGAACATTTAAATTGGTAAGTTTTTTAAATAATATTTTAAAAGCAAATTAACACTTCTAAACCATGATTTCAAAATTTCAGATCCATGGCGTCGTCAATATGTCGAGTGTGCCTAGTGAACTTCGAAGATATGGTAAACATATTCGATGCGACACATGAATCGGGCATTTCCATTGCACTCATGATTTCTCGGTGCACCAATTATAAAATCAAGAAAGAGGATCAATTACCCAAAACCATTTGCAAGTCCTGTTTGCAGGATGCGCACAACGCCTTCGAGATTATAGAAACGTACGAGAGGAGCCACCAGTTTTTCAGTTTCTTCAAGGATGTACGGGAGGAGGAATGCGAGGATGCAGGACCCAATTGCTCCGAGGAAGGTACAAACGTAGAAGAGAGTTCAAATGGAGACAATGGAACACAGCACTCATCAAGTGGAGACAAGGGAAGAAGAACAAATCGATCAAATTCGCAATCTATTACTGAGGGGACTGAAGATGAACTAGAAAAGACGAATGATGATTTTGATGATGATGATTCTAACCATGATAAAGACTATGAGCCTGGCTTGGATGAGTCTAATATCAAATCCAATGATAAATGCCCGCATAAGTGTGCCAATTGCCCGAAGGCTTTTCCAACGAAAGCAGGACTACAAAGACACCTTCTAACCCACAAAGGAGAACGGCCCTTCAAGTGTTCCCAATGCCCTAAGGCTTTTATTTATTCTTCAGGACTTGAGCGTCATCTGCTGGCACACACAGGAGAAAAATCGTTCGCGTGTTCAAAATGCTCGAAGAGATTTAAAACTAGTCAAAATCTTACGGTACACATGCGAACTCACACAGGAGAACGACCGTTCAAGTGTTCTCAGTGCTCAAATTCGTATTTCCATAGGTCAAGTCTTCAGATACACTTGCGAGCCCATACAGGAGAACGACCATTTAAGTGTCCCCATTGCCCAGGGTCTTTTGCTCGGGATTCGTATCTTCGAGTGCACTTGCGAATTCACACAGGAGAACGACCTTACAAGTGTGCCCATTGCCCAAAGACTTTCATTCAGTATACAGGTCTGCAAGGACACTTGAGCGCCCACACGGAGGAAAGACCCTTTAAGTGTTCCCAATGCTCAAAGGCTTTTCCAATTCTTCCAAATCTAAAGCGACACATGCTAACGCACACAGGAAAAAAACCATTTAAGTGTTCCCATTGCTCAAAGGCTTTCGGCCAGAAGTCCACACTTAAGATACACTTGCAATGCCACTCAGAAGAAAAACTATTCAAGTGTACCCACTGCCAAAAAACTTTTAAGACGAAATCAATTCTTCGCATACACCTGAAAACCCACACAGGAGAACGACCCTTTAAGTGTTCCCAATGCTCGAAGGCTTTTTCATTCCATCCAAATCTTAAGCGACACATGCTAACGCACACAGGAAAAAAACCATTTGAGTGTTCCCAATGCTCACAGACTTTTGCACGGAATTTCACCCTTCAGAATCACTTGCGAACCCACACGGGAGAAAGACCATTCAAATGTTCAAAATGCACAAGTACTTTTGCTTCGAAATCAGTTCTTTACGAACACTTGCGAACCCACAGCGGAATAAAAAAATTCAAGTGTTCCCATTGCCCAAAAGCCTTCACACAGAACTCAAATCTTTGGATGCACTTGCGAATGCACAAAAACGAACGATCATTTAAGTGTTCCCAATGTTCGAAGAGCTTCCTAACCAAACATCATCTTCAGCGACACCTTGCAACACATGATCCTGCAACTGTTTCTAGTGAATGACAACTTTTTAATTTAATAAATATCTCAAGAGACCTATGCGATACAATACACTATAAAATAATAACGTTTTTAAAATTTTGCTTTATATATTTGTTTGGGAAAACAAATAAATCGACTAGAATGCAATTCAATTTTTTTAGCGACGTTTTTTTTAAACTTTACCAACTTGGAGAACAAATATAAAATAGCAAATCTATTTTTGTTTTCTTGCCTTTTTACAACTCAATAAACTAAATAATAATATAGTTTAAAAAAAAAAACTAAATGGAATGCTACAATCGAATACTCAGCATTCCCAATTTTAAAATAAACATCCTTCTTTAAAAAATCATCAGGTTGCCCTAGTATATACATTAAATTGCCAATAAAGTCTCTTAATCTCTTTTTTATTGCCTTGAGCAATTGCTTTGTCATTAAGCCGAAAATGTTTACACCCGGTACTCGTGAAATAAAAGGGTATATTTTGAATATATTGAATCAATAATTATGGATTCATTTTGCGGCAGAGGGTGTCACCTAAAACCCGAGACAGTTTAAACAAACCGTCACTACCAAAAATGTGATGTATATATTGCATTCTAAACATTTATTTGTTTTCCCAAACAAAAATGTTAAACAAATTTGTTCCAGTTCTTTAAAAGTTATTATTTTAAAGTGTGCTATATCGCATAAGTCTCTTTAGATGTTTATTAAAGTGAAAAAATGTTGCAGAATCATTCTTTCGAATGTGTTAAAATGTGTCGCTTTAGAAAATAATAAGTTTTGAAGTTCTTCGTACATTGGGAACACTTAAATCGTTCTTTTGTGTGCGCTCGCAAGTGCATCGAGATACTACTATAAAAAATGTATAGAAAAGCCAAACCTTTAAGACTTAATTTTAATTCAAAATAAAATATACATGTTTTGTAAACAGTTAATGTTCAATTCATATATATATATATAAAATAAAATAAAAATATACTTTAGATTGATCACATTTTTAACTTTGCTTATATATTTATATTGGGTGTTTAATAATAAGTGCATTTTAGCAGAATTTGATAATGTTAACAGAGGCTGTGCAAGAAATGGAGTGAAACCAGGCTAAAGGTGCAGCACATTTTTCAGTGTTGCCATTTGTCAATGTTAGCTCCAATGTTGTTATCGATGTTGGCACCTCTTGCGAGTACACTAACATTTCTGATTAGAAAAAGATTTTTTAAAAACTTAAGTTAGGAAAACGATTTCTGATAAGAAAACGATAATTTTTAACATTTTTGATAGGAAATCGATGTAACTAAACATTTCTGTTAAAAAAGCGGTGATAAGTCGGCAGCGCTGCGGCAGAGGGAAATTAGAAAAGAGATGGAAATTACATCAATGTTGCCCCGCCAAACATCGATGAAACCGATGATTTTAAAACATCGATGACATCGATGTTGGTATTGATGTTTCTCCACCTCTATTGCCATCTCTATAGCGCCAAAGCGCTGCCACTACTGAAAAATCGTGACGGAAAACGGAAAACGCGGAAGAAAATCGCGTTGGGTAGCGGTAAATTCAAAAACTGTGTTTCGAGGAACAACACTAAGCAAACGAATCGTGCCGAAAAAAAACGAAAAATGTGAATATGTTTATGAATTTCTTGTTGAGTGAATTAAATGATAACGACCAAGCTGTGTTTATTGCGTTCTGATTTGCTTTTCAAAAACCCAGGCACACACAGACAGTGGCACCCACACGATCGCAATAGAGTGCAGTAGCAGTGATAAAACAAATGCACAACAATAAAGCAAAGTCGGAAAAGTTTCACAATGCAAAGGCGGCCCATGCATAAAAATGGCCAATTTGGCGCTCTTTGCACTTGTCGCGTCGTTGGAAAAACAACAAAAGAAAAAACAATTTTGCTCTCTGCTTTGTTTTTGTTTGGACCGCCGCTCACGCACATAAAGGCACCAGCATTTTGCATTTGTTTTTTTAGTCTTGATGCATTATCACAACAATTTATCACCTCTCTCTCTCTCTCTTTTGTCTTTCCTTTTCTCCCGCAAAAAGTTGCACTTGTGATCAAATTAAATTTAACGTCGCGATTCGACTCTATTTTGGCAAATTCTTTCGAAATTATTTCGGTTTTTTGGTGATATGCCGCTTTGGGCGTGAAATGTCTAAAAATAGCCGGTTGGGACTGATAAAACAGATCACTCTCACTATCTGCCGCCGCTCTTTATAATATTTGCGTGTGTAGGTGTGGGAAATAATCGCGGCATTTTTATTACCATTTTATTTTCTTAATGTATGGCGCAAAGTCTTATTGTTTTTATACCGTTTAAGACTAAAAGATCCTACATCCTCTAAATTTTCTTATTTATAAATGTGTATTGCCAAATAAAGTTAAAAATGCTACTTCTCGCAACAAAATTCGTTCTTTTGCCTAAAAAATCAAAATGAAAACGCTTAAGAGAAATAACGATATGATTAAAAATCGGTTTAGTAATTTTGTTAAAAGTTTTGGCACCGATTGACGGTTCCCAATTGAAAGATATAAAGCAGCAAGCTGTGCGGTATGCTCCTTAACAACTCGATTTAAATATTGACGCATAAAATGTTAGGTTACAGGTTGTTGATATTATTTACTGATTTGCATATTTGCAAACATGCATAATGCAACAATCTGTTGATGAAATTAAGGACTTAATACGATCAAAATCCAGTTAACCTGTACTCTTGTACACCGTTTTTTTATATTAACAATTAAAATTGTCATTTGCGTTTTGAGAAAAATGTGTGGTGTATTTTTCCAATCAGAAAGTGTTGTTACCGAGATATTTATATTTTAAATTTAATTAAATTCAGCAATAAAATAATAAATAATAAAAAAATAAGTGTCTAAGCATGCAGGACTTACCACCGGTATACTGCACTTTTATCCCACTGTAATATTGAGTCATCCAACAAGTTGTTGCAGTCTTGGGTTGATTTTTCTATTACTTCTTTCTTCTCGTTCTCGTGCTCGTATTCGTATTTTTGTTTTCCTGTTTCTGCTGCCTAATGCATAAATTACATTTTCCTTTTGGACTTTGCCAGATTTGTTTAGCACCTTTTTAGCGAAAAGTTTTCAACGGAAATGGTCAACAAAAATTGAAAAACTCCCATGTAAATACTCCACAAAAACACATACACACCCACGAGCTAAGTGAAATACACACCAACACATACGCGCTTAATAAAGATTAACGCATTTCTTATCAAGCGGTGATAGCGAGCAAAGATGATGGTGAGAGGCAGAGCGTGAGAGAGAAAGGGAAAAGAAAGAGAGGCAGTGATATCTTTTCTCTGCCTGATTAGCAGCGTCTAGTTTTTCTCGTGTTATTTATTTGTTTTCTGGTCTTCGCTGCCTTCTCTTTGCGTTCTTCGCAGCAGCTGCCTACGAACGTCGACGCTGCCTGCTATATTTTCGCGCCGCTGCTGATAAAATAAAGAACAATATTAATTTAAGTTTAAAAATAGAATTCGCTGCAGATGCCCATTGCATGAATCTGTGCGAGCGTGAGCGCGACCGCGAGAGAACTGATTTCTCTCTTTCGCTCTCTCGCGGCACACACATGTTGATCCGCAGCGGCAGCGTCAATTAGCGATTGAGAGAGAGAGAGAAGAAGAGAGCGAGAGAGAGATTATACTCATACAAAAATCGCTCATCTCTGAGAGCTGCAAATCAGTGATGTCAAGGGAAAAGAGTAAAATCTTAGGTAGATAATAAAAAGTCGCTAACTTCAGATGTGCCGTAGGAATTTCTGAACTCACAAAAAATAGTTGAACTGGCGTACAAATTGTGTGCGTTTGTTATACACCCGGAAGATTAATTGATAAGTGCAAAAAGACGATCTTGTTATGTTTAGACTTTGAATTTGGTCAACAATATAATTTAGTCCCAAATAACTAAACTTTACAAATTACAGAAATAGTTTTAGTCACAAAAGTACAAAAAAAACCACTCTATCTCAACAAGCTAAGCAACAATATTGTAATAGTTGCTGAAGAAATACTTGTTACTTCTTTTTTTTTTTTCTATATTCCCTCAATGTACAAACAAAAGCTAGAGCTAGAAAAGTAGCTAAAGAAACATCTCTGGGGAGCATGCGGTGTCGCTCGCTCGCTTTTCGGTTGGGGCTTTTTCAGTATTATTCTATTCGCCTGCGCCCCAAGTTTCTTTTTCGGATTGGCAAAGCCGCGTGCGCCCCACTCGCAACACACACACACACACAGAAAACGAACACGATATTATGCATATGTATGCTTAATATATATTTTTCTGATTGGATTGGGACAAAAACAAAACCCAAGGAGTGCGAAAAACGTGAAAAAAAGTAAAAAGCATTTCGAATAATATTCTGTGCGGTTTGTGTTAATAATTATTATTAAATGAAAAACAAATTCCGTCAAATGTGCTAACAAGAGTGTTCGCGGCCGCAGCGCCATAAAGTTTACAACAATTCGGGGAAAAAAATCTAAA